CTGCCTAGTTCTCGTTCCCAGGGCACCTGCACCCCTCGGCGGTCAGCTCTCCGGGGGGAGGACCACAGCCCAGCCTCTCCATACCTCGCACTACCCGCCTGGTCCCCTTCGCATCAGAGACTGGACCAGGCTCTCTGAGAGCTGCCCCAGAGCCCGGGGAGAAGGCTACCAGACCCCCAGACTAGACCACGGACTTGAGAGGGGCTGGGACGGGGGCCTGTGGTGAGGCAGAGGGGAGAGGCACCAAGGCCCTGGGGACAGAGTTCACAGAGACGGTGACGGCCACACGGCAGGCCAGGAAAGTGGAATGAGAGGGAGCAGGTGAGTGTCAGAGACAGAAGGGCGGGCGGAATGAAGGAGAGAGGAACAGGGAAGCCACGTGCCGGCCAACAGGACCAGTGATGTGCAGGCTAGCGGCCCCACACGCGTGCACACACACGTGCAAGCACACACATGCATCCTCGCAGGAGGACAGAGCCAGTCCCCATCAGACACGCACACGTCACCCGCGGTCCGGCCCACCCCCACTCTCACGTGCCCGGAGCACCTGCTCCCAATCACGCTAGTGCCTGCACTCGGGACCCCGGCAGGGCTGCTGCTGTCCCCACCTCCCGAGACACTGCTCAAACCCCATCCTCTCCAGAGCTTCCCCTGGCTGGTCCCCCACAGAGCCCCTCACACTGCTAGAACCTCCCGTCCGCCCGCAGCCCTCAGCTCCCCAAGGAAAAGGGCCAGGTCCGTTCTGATCACTGTCCCAAGAGCCGGAATAGGAGAGCACCCAGCAGGGACCTCCGCAGACACCCAGGGGTTGAAAGGGACCAGACGACACAGCCCGCCTGCCTGGCCACCTGTCGCCCTCTCGCACGCACGCACGCCACACACGTGCACCCGTGCGCACACTCGCCGCCTCAGCTCACGGAGCCCCACTCCTCCTCCAGGGAGTCCAGACCTGAGCCCGCAGGAAAGGAGAGGCGAGGTGAGGGGGTAAGGGCGGCCAGGGCCGGGCCAGATGTTGCTGGTGTGGAGAGAGAGTGAGAGGAGACAGGGACGCACACACGGAGCATGGGGGGCATTCTGCGGCCGGGGCAGCGGTTAGGTCAATGGTGCAGATGTCCAAGCGGCAATGATAAAAAGGCTGGTACCTGCTCGTTGGGACGGGGCAGGAGCAGGGCTTAGAGTGATCACAATAACTGGATGGGGAAAAGGAAGGAAAAAAAAAACAACAACACCACGATAAATCACAACAGAAACGACTGATTTGTCCAAAAGAAAAGAAACCAAATCATAATGGAGAGAAGGGGGAGGCGTGAGGCACCGACTGCAGAGATGGGTGAGACCGACAGAGATGGCGGGGTGGGGGGATGCGATGGAGCGGACAGACACAGACGCCTGGAGGGGGCTCCTGGGGGGGCCTGCCCGCCATGGGCCTCGCTCTGCACCAGGACAGCCACCCCTTACAGTAGGCACGCTGGGCTCTCTACCTGGCCCTGTGTCACCCACACCGGGGCTGGAGGGCAGCACCGAAGAGCCCAGCAGGGACCCTCTCTGTCCCACCCGACTTTCTGCCCAGGCAGCGTCCACTACCGGCATGTTCGTCTTGGGGCTTTCTCAGAACCCCCAGTGGACTCCCCGGGGAGAAGTCTACACCAACCCAGGTCAGAAGAGGGAGGGGTGTGTGGGTGTCAGGCTGTGAAGGTCAGGCTGGGTGACCAGGGAGTGGCTGGGATGGCCAGACAAGGGGCGGGGGTGCTTCCCTCTTCTTTCAGGAGGATCCCACGGGGACCTACATAAACTACAAAGTCCCATCAGAGGAGATATATTTTGCTGGGTCAAGAAAGACACAGAAAGGAGCTATTATTTATAGGGTCTTCGAAGGGATGGCAATGTGATTCCCCCCCAGGCGGGAGGATTTAGAGACAGGGTCATGTGGTCATGGTGGTCCCAAGCCAGGTGTGTGTGCAGATAGGGAGGTGGGCGGCTGTGGATCCCGAAGGACAAAATGTCTGAGACACAGCGAGGAAAGCAGTGGGCTGATCAGAATGCCGGTGTATATGCTGGGGGCTATGGTCACACTGGCCTCGGATGTCCCCAGGCCAGGTGGGTGTGGGTGTAAATTCAGGTGACAAAGTGGCCAGGCTGAGGGTTGGGTGTGTATTTCTTACCCTGATCTGGCTCTCCAGATCGGGCGTACTGAAACCAATCAGAGGGGTCTAAGGAGGCCTGGTGTGTACGAGGGGAAGGCGGGAGGGAAAATCCTCAGAGCAGAAAGATGGGCGAGTTCTATGTGGTCAAGGGACCTCGGGTGTCCGGCCGGATGGGCACAGGTGAGTGAATGGATTATCCGCTGTATCCGGAGAACAAGCTTCCAGGCCAAGACAGAGGAGGTTCCGTGCAGTTACTGACATGGTGGGAGTGAGGCCCTCGGGTCGAAAGGGATGTGCCTGTGTCTGCCGGGGCGGGGGGACCTGGACGTGGTGACTGTCATATGGAATGGGGAGCTCGGCTCGGAGTAGGTGACCGAGGACCACGTAGATGCAGAAGGGTCACCAGCTGTTGGCCTCTCCGGGTCACTCGGCTCCCAGACCCGAGGGTGGGAACCCACAGGCAGGGGAAGGGCCGCCCGGGGGCCCGCCGGCCCCACGCCCCCTGGGTCACCCTGACCCTCTCCCC